CCCTTCCCCCACACACCAAAACCTAAGTCACATGAGAACAGGGTCCTCCAGGTGTCTGGTTCACTAGAGTGCCCCACACCCTGCAGAGCAGCACAGAGTAGGTGTTCAGTATATATAACCTCAGAGGATAGGCTGCCCTGTCCTCTCCAGGTCCTGGGCCTGGAAAGACAGGTCTCAAGCTGGGTTCTGTCTCACAAGAGGGGATGTCCTTAACCACCAGGCTACGGTCCCCTCATCTCTTTTCTCCTTGGGGCCTGATCATCCTCCTTCCTCCATCTGTATTTCCCTCCTCCTGTTACCTCCTCTCCTTCCTCGGGACCCATTCCCCACTGGAACAGAAAAGCCCTCCCTGCCACAGACTCCCGGATGCTGATAGGCAATTCTACAGGAAGTGCTAAACTCCCGCAGTGACCAGGCAGACATCCCAGCCCTGCACCCTGTCCCAAACAGTCACTGGGTGCTGAACGCTGGAGTGCCCACCGGCCCCAGCCAGGTGACCGGACTGAGGCCATCCATGCCTTTGCTTGCTTCCAAAGTGGACTGTCCTAACCAGCCTAGGCACATAGGTGTCTGTGCCTTGGCCGAGCCCTCTGGATAGTCAGACTGTTCAAGGAAGAACAGAATACTCCTTGAAGTCACAAAGTCACCCATCTGTGACTTTCTGCCTCTGTAGCGAGTCAGCCACCTGAGGTAAGGGTGGTGTAGCAATCAGTCTGAGTAGGCCCCAGAAAACCAGGAACCACAGCCCGCAATCGAGCAGGTAGGCAAGTTCATGCTCAAACCTGCCTGGGGCTCTGAAGCAGGCTCTACACTTGAGGGAAGAGACCCCAGGGACTCCTGTAAGAGCTGTACAGCTGCTTCGGGGCATTCGGGGAGGGGGCCAGCTGAGAAGGACGGGAAGGCTGGCAATTGGAGGGCCCAGGAGCAAAATCCTGACACCCGGGGAGATGCGGACTCCTTCCTTCAGAAGGTTGCTCCTCTCGGGTCCTGCTGCTCACCTAGTTTGCCTAGCAGCATCTGGCCTACATCCTTGATGTCATTATATTCGTGGAGCTGGGAGATGTGGTCCTCCAGTTCATCCACACTGTAGCCTCTGGGGTGGGGGGTGGAGAGAGAGAGAGAGGATCTTTAAGAAAGCGGAGGAGGATCCAAGGTTCAGAGAGTAACAAGGCATCTATTTAAAGATTTTATTTATTTATTTATTTGTCAGAGAGAGAGAGATTGAGCACACAAGCAGGGGGAGCAGCAGGCAGAAGGAGAAGCAGACTCCCTGCTGAGCAAGGAGCTTGATGCGGGGCTCAATCCCAGGACCCTGAGATCCTGACCTGAGCCGAAGGCAGATGCTTAACCGACTGCGCCACCAGGTTCCCAGAAGGCATCTATTTAACTAATGTTCATGGGATGCCTGGGTGGCTCTCAGGGTCCTGGAATTGAGCCCCACATCGGGCTCCTTGCTCAGCAGGGAATCT